TGTATGTATACAATTAGAAATGTACCCAGTAGTGGGATGGAGGGACTTCAGATTTTTAATGGAAAGGTGTCTCAACTAAGAACTGATTTGGGGGAGTTTCAAATTCATGATTTCAGGATTTATTTATTTTTTTTATTGTTTTAGGCTGAATTTAAATATATCAAAATTGGTGTATTCTAGAACAGGGAACTAATTGGGGTTTTGCCTAAAGCCTCACGGAATTTGTTTTAAACTGTACCTTCCCATCACTTAAAATCTGGAATATCCCTCCCCCCTGTCCCAGGGATCACATTAAAATTTCAAATAACAAACAGCATGCATTTTTCATTAATTTTATTTGGCAATAGCAATAATTACCATAGCTACTATTTATTATAATGCAGTGAGCAAGATTAATCTTCAGAAGCTATCAAAGTACTTGGGAGTGAAAACAATAAACAGTTTTTCTTTGTTGCCCCTTGAAATCATTCAAAAAACCTTCATTACAAAGGTATGGGTAAATCGGCCACATTTGTATCCAAGGTATTGGACTGGAGGACTGGAACTAGCTTGCAACAGGCTCATGAATTCCAATCCAATACTGAAAATACCAATATGGTCCATTAATAAGGGGATATGAAAATGGAATAAATTTATTACAACCATTCAACATTCTAACATTACCGGTAGTTGAAATGACAAAAACACGAGGTATTTCCCTCAGTATCATGAAAGCTGAGGGCTGGCAAGTTTTGCTCCAAGAAAATAACTCAAATTTGAGAGATCCCATAACTTTACTGCAATTAAACCAAAACAAAAACTTGATGTCATTAATTACTTTAACCCTTTAATGCCCAATAGTGAATTATAGATTTTACTCTGTCTAACGCCAGACAATTTTACTCGTCAAAGGGAGACCCCTTAGGCACTTAAGGGTTAAAAAATCAGGGCAAATAAAAACATTGGGTGACTGTCAAGGAAGAAAAGCGTGGAAGCCTTTCACAGGTAATCAGTGTAAATAGCAATGATCAAAAGAGACAGATTCAAGATGAACAAAAAAGGCCTTTTTTGTGTCACAATAATCAACTATCATAGTTGAACAATTCTTGGGTTAAAATGTTTTCAACTACTTTACATCTGCAAGAAACATCTAATATACCCCATGTCCCTCTTGCTCTCTCCAAAACTTTTCTACAAGAGCATTTCGAATACGGGTTGCCTGTGGGCAAGTGTCCCTTATCTTTGGGCAGTTCCTCATTTGTAGAAGTCTTCGTATTGTTGCTCTATCCCTTAATTCTCCTGTGGAAGGATCTCTTGTCAGATCAAGCTTTTGTGAAATAGTGTCACCTCTGTTAAGACAAACATTATGGAGAACAATGCAGGCCAATGAAGCCAATCTGACCCTGTCTGGTCTGCTTTCACATTTTCTCAGAAGAATTCTCCACCTGCCTTTAAGTGGCCCGTATGCTCCTTCTGTCACCATTCGCCCTCTACTTAGCCTATAGTTGAAATAACGTTGTTGGGGAGTAAGTACAGCATTTGTAAATGGTTTCAGTAACCATGTTCTACATGGAAAAGCAGAGTCTCCAAGGATAACAGGTGAGACATTTACTCCATTAACATTTCTACCTAGATTGGGTATTATCTCTCTCTGTGTAATATCTTCCCAAAGTTCAGTAGACTGAAAAATTATTGAATCATGAGAGTTCCCAGGGAACCCACAACTAGCCCAAATGAATCTTTATTTAGCATCAACAATAGCCATAAGTACAATAGAATAAAAGTTTTTAAAGTTATGGTATTCTTTCCGCGATTCTGCACCACCAGCAGGGCACTTTAAAGGCAAATGACATCCATCGATTGCGCCCCAGGCATATGGAAACTGCCACAATTGCTCCATGTCTAAAACTTTCTCCTTGTACTGTGCTTCACTTGTTGGGAAATGTTGTTGCACGCAGTCTTTCCATAAATTATCAACAATTGCCCCGCACACTTCACTCACTACACCGCATACGGTTGACACTCCCAAACCAGTCATCTCCGCAATGGTGAAGTAATAGTTGCCTCTACCAAGGCGGTACAAACAGATTGCTAACCGGAAAGCTGTTGATATAGGTTCTTCAGTGACTGTTTCTCGTTCTAGGTCATGTTCGATACGACTGAGAATAAACTGGAATGTTGCTCTTGATACTCTGAACAACTTTTTAAACCTAGCATCCGAGTATTGGTGCCAAACAATATTGAACCAACCTGTACTTCTTGGTAGTCGGCGACAGGATCGATAAACTTGTGTTGCATTTTGATGAGACAAAATGAGAACAATCAACAGCAAAAGTTGAATTATTAGTCTATGCTTTTCCTGAAGACGATGCAGCATATACTGTTGCATTGTCAGCCTCCTCCTTCGCCTTCCTTCAAAAACTTTTTGCAAAAGAAAGAGCCTCCGTTTAGTATCTTCGTCCGCCATATTAGATAGTTACGTCTAAACCTTTGTAACATTTTTCCGCTGACGGACCTGCACCGCAGTATCAATTCAAAGAATTAAATTCGGCAGAAATTCGACGTATGAATCAGCTGTCGCATTTCTGCCGCACTTAATTGAATTGAATTCGACACGGCAGAAGTGCGACGTATGAACCGGGCCTTAGAAACATTGCAGCTCTTCAACTTCGGCCACGACATCCAAAATTGGATAAAAATTTTTTATAATAATGTTACTAGCTGTGTTCTGAATAACGGTCATGTCTCAACTTTTTTCTCCCTACAGCGGGGAGTCAGGCAAGGTTGCCCTTTGTCTGGCGTTCTCTTCGTTCTCGGCATAGAACTCCTCTCTAAAGCCATAAAAAATGATCCTACTATTAAAGGTATCCAAGTCAACAAGCATGAGCTTAAAATAAGTCAATATGCCGACGACACAACAGTATTTGTTCGTGACCTCGATTCCGTCGTGAGTCTATTGAGGGTTTTAAATGAGTTTAAAGAACTTTCTGGCCTAGAAATAAACACAACTAAAACCGAAGCAATGTGGTTAGGCGAATGGAAAGACAGAACAGATGAACCCTTTGGTTTTAAATGGCCAAAAGAACCTGTCAATGCCCTTGGTGTCTTTTTTTCCCATAACCAAGAAAGTGCTAATAGACTGAACTTCGGTGAAAAAATACATAATCTCGAGAAAACGCTAATCACTTGGCAAAGGAGACATCTAACTCTTTATGGAAAGATAAACATAGTCAAAACACTTGGGATATCTAAGTTAATTTACTCAGCCTCCGTGCTCCCTGTTCCAGATCACTATATCCAAGAGATAAATAAGCTAACTTTCAACTTTATTTGGGCAGGAAAACCCCCTAAAATAAAAAGAAACACCATAATTGGAGAAAAGAAAGATGGCGGTTTGAAAATGTGCGATTTTAATATCATGGAAAAAGCACTCAAAATAGCTTGGGTCAACAAAATTCAAGATGACTCACAAGCCTCCTGGAAAATTATTCCTAACCAGCTCTTACACAAACATGGTGGTCTTGCTTTTCTAACAAAATGCAACTTTACACCAAGCACACTAGACCTCGATGATAAACTTCATGCATTTTACAAAAAAGTGTTAGATTATTGGTGCGAGTTTAAAATCTCAACGGGCATCGATTCCAAAACAAATCCTAAAAACGAAATAGTGTGGAATAACAGAAAAATTCTTATAGGAAAAAAAGCTGTCTTTTACCAAACTTGGTATGACGCCGGTATTACTAAGATAAGCGACTTTTTAAACCAAAATCAGAAATTTTTGAAGTGGCATGAATTTGTCTCAAAATTTAATTTAAATGTGCCTTTCACCACATACTATGGCTTGGTCAACGCAATCCCAAAAGACTGGAAAGCTAATCTTACAAACCCTATTCCAAACGTCACACACGCGAACACTACTGTAAACAGCCTAAGAACCAGTTCTATTTACTCTTCTCTTTTAAACACTGTCTTTGTTCCTCCCACTGCCAAAACCAAAATTCTACGCCACGGATTTACAAAAACTACCATCAAGAACGTTTATCTTATGCCATTTAAAGTTACAAACGAAGTTCAAATAATAATGTTTCAGTATAAAGTGATTCATAACGTGCTTCCAACTCGCGCCACTCTTTACCGAGACGGCATTTCAGAGAGCCCCTTATGCAACCTATGCAATAAAGAAAAACAAACGTTGCATCACCTACTAATAAACTGCACACTAATACTCGACTTCTGGATTCTGTTTCAAGACTGGTGGCACTAAAAAACAAATGAAACAATAACGTTATCCACAAGTCATATACTCTATGGCTGGCATTATAGGACAAAGCATTGGCAAGTCCTAAATTGTTGCCTATTGTTAGCCAAATATCACATTTTCTGCACAAGCCTTTGCGGAGACATCTTAAATTTTCAAATCTTCCTACTGTTCATCACGGGAAAACTTGAAATCCTAAAAGAGATCGCGACCGCAAAAAAAGAACTTCCGAAATTTTATCGCACGTGGGCTTTTTTACTTTAATTTTTCATGCTGCTGTTGTTTTTAGGTTAGACTTATACTTAATTTCATAAATATTTGTTTAAGCTATATCAAAAGTAAATATCCAAAGAAATGTAGCATTTTTTGAGACCTGTATGTTCACTTGTGATTGTCTTTTAATTGAAAAGAACTTTGTAAACACGCCAACCGTAAATTAAATTAATGTTAATAGTATTGTAATACATGTATCGTAATGTAGTGTATGCATAATTAGTGTAAGTATAAGTATCAGTAGTGTAAGTAGCAAGTACAATGTAAGTGGAATTAATACTTTAAGTAGTGTAAGTGATCGTCTTGTAAATAAAATTGTTTAAAAAAAAAAAAATTGGACAGTAATTCATGAGATGTTTAATAGTGTTTCTTCTGTCTGTGCACTCTCTAAGGTGGCACATAGTGTAAAATGAGGAAGCTGTAATTCTTCCTGCCCAATGATCAAACCAAAATTGAGACTGGGATTGATAGACAGTTTTCTTGTTGATCATTTCTGCTTACCCTTCATTAAATGGAATAGACTCAAGGAATTCAATTGCAAGTTGGAAACTGTAGGCATCACTTTTTCAGTATTAACAGAAACAAACACTTTGCCACAATCATTCATTGAATATACATGTACACTTTGAACACTTTCTTCTTTACAGACATTAACATCACTGCTGATGAAAGCCCTGACTTCTTCCTCTGTTTGCCTGGGTACTTTAGCTGAAGATAAAAAAGGGAGAGCTGAGGTGCTAGGACATGTTTCCAGCAACCCAGTCTTAAAATCTTGTTCTAGTTCAGACACATTATAAGGAATGCAAATTGCATTAAAATCTCTTGGGTGAATCGGGTCTTTCAATGTCACACCATGACTACCACTCGTTTGAAGGTCCTGAATGGGCAAACTTCCCTCATTTCTCTTTCCTCTCTTTTTCCACATGCACTGTCCTGTACATGATTGGAGATCACGGGAGAATAGATTAAACAATGCTGCAGCTATGTACCCGCAACCTCCATCTGCCCTGTTTAAAGGAGGACCAATATGACAAATATGTATCTCACATTGTTCACACTGATAGACTGTAAAGTAGCCAATAAGTTCAGTTACTAGGCTCACAGATTCTGACTTTGAACTACTGTTTTAATACTTAGTGCTGAATTCATAAATGATCCAGAAGGTTTGAGACTTAAAATAATGCATCCATTGATTTAGATCTTCAATTCAGGAGGCATCTACTTTTTACTCATGTTACAACTGCTACATGGGAAATATAAACCTTCGAATCTGAATGAAACAAAACCTGTCACAGAGAAAATTGAAAAGACCAAACGTTTTGATTTTTAAACGTATGTTTAAAGAATATCAAGCACATGGACAGGCTTCAGAAATCAAAAGAAGAAAATACATACCCTCCTTTGCATAAGCAGTAGGCTGAATTGACACTTCCATCCTTCTTTAAAATGAAAAACCCTCTGTATGTTGCTGAACCATCATCAGTCTTGGATTTACAGCAAACTTAAAATAACTGTAATTACCATGGGGTTAAGGTGGGTGATACCACAGTTCTTCCACATGTCCATCAAAAAATAATTTGTACCCCAATAGAGATTTGTAACTTTTTAGGCTTTCGCTGTTGTATACGGGATCTTTTCCCACCAAGTAATTAAAAAGATCGGGGAATCTAAAGTCCGGTACGTTAGTAAAATTTTGTGGTCCATTGGGAAAAAACACGGTTTTCGTTATCCAACTGATTTGCGAGATCTCCCTCATCGGTTTTCAGTTGCTCTTTCAAAGATCAACTGGTGCTTACTCTTCAGCAATTTTTTGGACTTTTTATCTCCTCACGTTTCGCACAAAGTTCTACCAGTTCAACCTTATGTTTTCCTGAGCTTTGAATGCCCCTTTGTTTTAAGTATTCTTTTAACCAAGGAACCGGTTTACAGTGAAAACTGCCTGCAGCAGAGTCAGCCATCTTGTGTCCTCTAAGCCTTGCTTACATGGGACTACCTAGTTCTCAGAAGTGCGCGGTGAAAAATATCGAAAGGACCCTATTCCTCAATCGGCTTTTGGAATCGCCTTAACCTTACCTTTACCCCGTACACTTCTTTAGGCACTCTACATCTACCAATGGAACCACGACTCCACCCAACACCTGTACCGAGATTTGATCTATGAGTGGGGCAGATTGTAAAATCATCGATATCTTTTGGCGTCTCGAAGATGCCGGCTCACAACAAAATAAGATCAACTTCAAGGGAACGACCTGAGATATGCAACGTCGGTCTTCTCAATAACTATACCCAAAAGTCTCACCAGCGAACAATTTAAATGAACAGCAAACCTCCATGTTAGCATGTAAGACGAGGCGCCTATACAACAGATCAAATAGCTAAATCAGTATATAGCTTTTCAATCGAGTTCTCGGTTTGCAGCTGACGTTATACATTTAAGCAAATTAAGCGTCCGCCATGTTGGTGCTCATCTCGGGTGTGAAATTTTATAGATAATCGTCCTTTAAACATACACAAAAGCCGAAAGGTCACGAACGTTTATTGCCTTTCGTCACAACGTACCACCCGGCAGTTAAAAATTTAAAACAAATATTGATGGAACAGTGGAGTTTGATACACAATCAGCCCTTGCTGAAAACAAATTTTACAAAACCTCCGATCATCTTTTATAAAAAGGGAAAATCTCTTTAAGACATGCTTGTGAGAGCAAAAAAAATAATTTGAAGGTGGTAATGCGACGCGACCACGAAAGCCACATGAGGAGTCCGTGCTAGTCTATCTTTACCTTTATTCTCACATCCTGTCGCTGTGACTTATCGCTTGTATCTACTTTCTTCTCCTCTCTGTTGTCAATTTTTCTTTGAAGGAAGACTTATTTTTAGTAACTGATGGTATTCGATGAAATCCAATCCCTTTGTCCCCTTTACTTCTGCTGCCACAGCCGAAAACTACACAAAGAACCATTTCTACTTTCTCACTGACACCTTACTACAAGTGCATTTGTAACTAATTGTTTAGGCACCAACATGGTGGAGAGCAACCGTCGTCAAGGCAAAAGTCATGTGGGTGAAAACCAAGAATTGACTTTTGTGAACATTCTTTGACTTCTGCCGGCAAAGGAATCATTGATGGATCTGGACATTTTAGTTTTCTGAATACGGTAATTCTTGGAAGGTTTTTATAGATATGCAAAGAGGGAAAAAACTCATCTCTTGGTAATTCCGGAGGTTGATTCATCTTTGAATTTATGTGTCATGCTTGTCATGCAACTGATATTGTCGTTGCCAGATGACAATTGGACTCGGCTGATTCGATTTTTTTAAACAACTTTATTCGCTCACGTTACTGCAAACTCCTCAACTCAACTTGTTTTTTTCTCACACATGGGCACGTGGCCCATGGCAACTAGCCCACCTGTCAATTCACATAGCAACACACAAAAAATAAATAAATTAATTAATGTACAGGAAGCGGAAGGGACAGATATAGTAATGTGGAGGGATAATATTATAGTATCAAAAGCAAATAGCGTTGACGACCAATTTCATCTTTTTGTGAGCAATTAAATAAAGTCGTGCAAAAACACGAGCCTTTGAAAGTTGTATAAAAACGTAAAATTAAACAACTTGCAATACCATAGATAACAAAGGGAATAAGAACGTCAATTAAAATAAAGAATAGGTTATTTAAACCTGGAAATTGTAGCGAATATAAATCTTATAGAAATAAAATCATCACTCTTACGCGTTAAAATAAAAACCAATATTACTTCGATTTTTTTAATGAAAATGTAAAGAATATCAAAAAAACATGGCAAGGAATCAATGAATTGTTAAACAACTGTAACAAATATCATAAAACGATAACGACATTAAAAGACCCAAATAACAACAATCAAGTTACTAATGACCCATCACGTATACCAAATATTCTAAACGAACAGTTTGCAAGTGTTGGTACCAAACTAACAAGTAAACTACCCACCAAAAGTAATCATATGGATTATCTCAAGAAATTAAAATCACCTGATTCTCCCTTTTTTTCCAAACCAATTTCCCCAGATGACGTTAAACAAGAAATTCTATCACTACCAAACAACAAATCGTATGGTTTATACTCTTGTCCTATCCAACTTCTTAGACGTTCGTGCGATATTTTATCTCCTGTCCTTTTGAACATTTTCAATACTTCTATTACGTCTGGTGTCGAGACTGATGCTTCTAATTACCGACCAATTTCTCTCTTGTCAAGTTTGAACAGAATATTTGAAAAGCTACTGTATTACAGAATGAAGGACTTTATTGACAAAAATAAGTTAATACATTCCTCACAGTATAGCTTCCGTAAGGCACACTCCCCAGATCATGCGATCCTTGATATTGTCATCTTCTAGACGTAATAATAAAGTGTCTTGGGGGCCTTTGTAACCATCTTTAAAAAGAATTTCACATAAACCCCTCGTGTGAACAGTCATCACATGACCAGTACTACTAATGCTGAAATGCGAACTGTTTAAAATTTAAACATTAGTATCACATCAAGCAAATTAATCATATCGTCATTATCATGAAGTCGTTCCCTAAAAATTAATAAACATCAATTGATTGTTTCCCATAGTCCACATAAGATTTATTTGCAGCATCTCTATCTTCTATAGGATTACTCATATTTTGTTATCTTATATCCTACTCTCATGTTGATATTACACCGCAAAAAAAGCATTTTTTTAAATGAGTTAGATTAATTCAAAATGAGTTAGATTAACTCAAAATTTGAGTTAACTCAGGAATTAACTCAATATATTGAGTTAAGTTACTCAAATATTTCTACTAAAATTTGTCAAGTAATATAACTCACAATATGTGAGTTTATTTACTAGGTATTGAGTAAATTAACTAAAAGTTGAGTCTGTCATAAGGAATACAGGGATGAGGGATGATTTTGAGATGGGCTTTACCAGCAAAGGATGCTTTCTGCTGGGATATTTTTGCTATATTTGCTACACATTATGTAACAGTATAAAAATAACACGTGCACTATGACAAGACATAGTACACAAGCAATTGACACAAATTCGAACAATATTAAACAACCTTTACAAATCGATCCATCCCTAAAATGGCCAAAGTACATGAATAAAACACCCATAAATCATTGAAATACCCAATAACTCTTTGATAATTCAGAGAATCTAACTCAAATGTTGAGTTAAATTACTCAATCGCATTATGATATCCAAGTTGGTTTCTGAGTAATTCTACTCAGAAAAAATGGAGCATGAATAGCACCACAACATAGTTGAAACAAAAGTAATTATTTTTTTTAATAATTTTTCTTTATATTTTTGCAGCCATTTTAAGAAACTTTACTTTCTATTCTGCAATATACTATTTATCATGATTTTTTCTGTATTATTTACATGCATCAATATAGCAAAATGTAACCAAAAATATCATTACTGCATAAGATCCAATCTGTATTTCAATGTCACGAAGACTTGGTTGGCATAGCAACCAAATCCCTTAACGAGACCAAGGGGGTAATAATCTAGAAGCTCAGATTGCTTAATATATCTTATTTCGTTCAGTTGCTGAACTTTAAAAAGCATTTAAATGACAGACAAATTCAGTAACATTTATTTTAAGGTACTGAAACCAAACTATGTGTCTCTCAACAACCAAAACCTTTTGGATCTTTCCCAAAATTGGAAAGCCATGGTGGTAGTCAATTACAATAACATCGCCCTTTACGTATTTGGTTCCATAAACTTTAACCCAGGATGTGCGTGTCAGTGAACTGTCGCCTTTAGTTTGGGGTCTGCCTCTTGCAGCTCATCTTCTACTCCTGCTTCTTGAACAGTTGTTACCCTTCCAACAGCTAAAAAGTTATATAAAATATATATATATATTAAAGGAAACTCTCATGATTTAGCCAATGACATTGAACATGGGGTTAAATTAATTTAATGCTTAGGTCATTAATTACTGGGGAGGGCTGGTAAGTTTAGGGGGCTTTTGATTTGGGAAGGGCCAAAAATTTTGGACCAGCATTTAGGGAGAGGGACAAGGCTTTGATTTGGGAGGACAAGATTTCTTGGGATGAAGGTTTAGAAATTTTACTGGCCCTCCCCCAGTAATTAATGATGGCTCCCTTACCAGGTCCAATTTCCAAAGACACTCTCAAATAGTTGCCTTGTGAACTTTGCATTCGATAAGTCTGAAGGGCTTGATGCCTCATAGCCAAGGAATAGGTGATATTTTTGAAATTGTTGATGTTGTCTACCAGCTTTTTAAAGTAGTTATGTTTGGCCTCGAACCTCATGGCCCAGTTTCTTACTAGGGGACCATTTCTGTAAATGGAAGATTACTAGATATTATTAAAAACTCATTAATAATTCATAAGCCTTTGGGCCAACTGGATACACCATACATATTACATGCATGGACCTTTATACTCGATAATGTCCCCTTTAAGTCCATCTTTTAGATGAACCTTTATATAAAAATTACCTTCATTAGTATTCTTTATATAAAGAACACTAAGACAGATGACTTTATCTGAGAGGAAGTATATGTCCATGTTTAGATGAAGACTTAGAGCCTCATCAAGGTCTCATCACACCCTAAAATTCCAGATTGCCATGTATAGAATATTGAGCATGTGGGAGTTTCTTTTAGAGCTACTCGCACATGCCTGTGACGTCAAATATCTATTGAAGTATGAAAGTCCATGTATGGTGGCTCCAGTGGAACCAAAATCTTATAATTATGAGGTCTAAAAACACTCGGCTGCACCTCATGCTTCTAAACCTGATAAGACATTATTGCTCATTCATTAAACATCACATAAAACTATAAGTAATACTGCATTATATACCCATGTATAAGCTGCACTGCAAGTTTCAGAAAACTTAAATAATCAGCATGATGAAGTCTGAGTGGGCTAATAATACATATATTGAAAGGGTATGTAAAGTTATGAAAGGTGGATAAAGTGGTAATACCCTTCCCTAACCCCCAGTAGTACAAAATGTACAATGCTTACAATTTCAATATAAAAAAGACATACTTGATAATTTGATTTGGGTAATGCACCATGTAATGCTGTTTTGGGATTGGAAGCCGGTCATTGAGGTTGACATAGTCCTCTAGGTACTCCTCTATGAGAACTCCAAGATATGCAGCCAGCTGTGGTGTTGCTTTAGGAGCAAAAACAATTTCTTCAATTTTCAGTAGTCGCAAAAAGTTTTCCCAGTGCTCATCATTTTGTGGAATCAAGTCTCCTATAAGTATAGGAAACATTCTTGCCAGGCACCACATCCGAGCTGCTGGTGAAAGAAAGAAAAAAATAATATGAAATTATCATGTACTTTTTTAGTATACAACAAAGCCTTTTATATATATTTTTTTTTGTATATTTCTTTTTCTTTTTAAATATAACATAATATATAATAGTAATATGTAACTCAACCATTGCAAAACATCATTCTCCTAACCTGACTGTGAAATCCTCATTGAATTGTTTGCCAATGACTGCGGCTTTATAGGACTTGGTTTATTGCTAGCATCAGATTGAGGATACCACAATCTTTCTAATCTGTCATTCACAATTTCAAGTGTGAAATAATTTTCCTCTTGAATGTACTTCTGTAACAGAATCTTGACTTCTAGGGCAGCACTCCCTCAAGTTGGTCATGCATGACATCAAGAACAAGTCCATCAGTAATGTGGAAGTAACGGACTGGTTGAGAACACTTTTTTTTACCCCATAAGTTGCTTCTAGATTTGCATCATTTTCTACAAGCCGGCAATGTCTGTCATGGATTGCTCTTGTTCTAATTTGAAAATCTGCTTCTGTAAACTAATATCAATGTGACATTCACAATATGAGTTGTATAATAGTATATTCATCTCAAGTCCATGAACTTTGAAGTGTAGACTCATATTAACACTATTGACACAGGGTCTGATCAAAAGTCTAAACTTATTTGTAACAAAATTTAGAATGCCGGTAAATAATCTTTTACACTTGACACATTGAATAATGACCAAAAATGCATGCACACTACTACTACTACCTTTGTGTTAGTGTCTTCTCTAGTTGCCATACAAATTCTACAAATCCTTAGACCAGAAAAAGCTCTCCTGAAAACCACCAAGAGAATGTGCCCCAAGATTGTCACTTGAATAAGGTCCAATGGAACCACTGAATGTTCTTTCTTGTTCATCTATCCAAAATGTTACACCTCTATCCTAGGAAGAAAACAAATACATATTTTTTAATTAAATTATAAATTAATATTAATGACAATGTGCACTTAATTATTTTTATATGGTTGAACTTACATTTAGGTGACAGTTAAGTGTATGCTACAATATACTTACTGCCTCTAGTTGATGCAGGTCTTGCATGAATGGCTGCAGTATCCTATTCATTCCATACTTTTTATGAGCGGTACTCGGCACAAAGCAATTAGCTGAATTGAGTTGATAACAGAACGGTATTCTGGACTAAGATTTCCCAGATTGAAGTAAAAGGCTCCTGATGTTCATAAAAAAAATCAATTTCAATGGCAATAGTCATAACATGTTGTGCCAAACCAAATGCATACCTCAAACAATGTTTTCCTTTGATATTTTTCAATTCTGCTTTAATTCTGCTGACTGTTTTTACCACCTATTTATGTTTAAGGTATTTGGCTCAACATACTAGGTATGACGTATGAATCAAGGCTGAACCTTCTTTAGTTTGGGTCAACACAAATGTGCTATTGTGCAGCACAACAGAAGCACGTCGTATGAACCAGACCTTACATTTGCACTTATTTTACACTGCACATTTGAGGGAACTTACTCTCATTGCATGTACGCATTCAATATTTTGATATTGAACAGGATTGAAATTTAGGATGGTGGATGTTGCATGTCAAACCTCATAAACATTCATAAGTGAATAGGATATCCCCAAAAGATCAGTTTTTAGAGATTTCTCAAAATTTCCCTGCCAGATATTGTTTAAACATGACAAACATGCAATTAATATCTTGTGGATAGTTTGGTTGTAGTTTGTTTTTTCATCATCTGCAAACACACCATCAACAAGCACACACACACACACACACAAAAACAGGAGATTGTCAGTCAATAAATAATAATGTTCATGATAATTATTAATGCTAACAGCAACCTAACAAAACACGTAATAGTTTACATGCCTGTAAATACATGATTGAAAAGCATACCTATTTTATGTTTTTTTGTCTTTGATCCAAGCGGGTTTGTTACTTGAAAATCATCATAGTAACAATGAAGAAGTAGTGCATTACCAGGTTGTCCAAAAAGAGCATGCATTTTGTACTGTTCACTATCACAATAGTCTCTTAGAATTCCATCATTTGAGGAATGACCATTCATAACCTAAAAAGTACCCAAATTATTGAAATGTGCCACAAGTAATTTGTTATTAGAGGGACTGTCATGTAAAATAATGGTATTGATTCAATATTGTCAACTTCAAAATGATATCTAAATTGTCACAAAAACTAAGAGTTTTCCAAATCACCACACCCAAGTTCCTCCATAAAAACATGTAACCCATACACTGAAGTGTTTCAATATAACTATTAGTGCAGTTTTCGTATGACTGTGAAACGTTCACGGCATGAACAATGTCATGGGAAGGAGTCAGCCAATTAAAAATCTAGAAAACATCACGGTCACTGCAAGACACGCACTCCTCGTCCAATCAAATGCAAGAAACATGGCACGAAACACTGCACGGACACTGTCACTACGCGGACACGGCACTGCTTAGCCAATCACATCGCGCAAAAAAAGAAAATCCAGCCAATTAAAATCCTACGTTACGACACGACACGTTCACGGCACTGAACTTTTCACAGTCATACGAAAGCTGCTCTATACAGGGACTGCACAGCATCCTAACAAGTGTGTGTGTGTGTGGGGGGGGGGAGGGGGCGCTAACATCAGAAAATGCAAACCTAACCCTACCCATCTCTGCAGTTCCTGTTATATTCCCTGTTCTACATACATCAAATAGGATGCTTACCTCACATAAAACATCTGCCTGATTGAGCAAAGATTGTAGGGTTTTCAGTATCGAGATGTAATGAAATGTTTCCTTGACCAGGCAGAGTTTTTGCTTGCCTTGCAGATAGCGATATTCAGCATATTGATTGAGGATGACTTCCTGTGGCTCCTATATATATTAAAACTCATATCAGCATAATAATCAATATATTTATATTATTTTGGTAATGCATGTGTTTATAAGAAGGCTAATTAAGATGACTTTAAAGCAAGTTAACACAAGTGATAAAATACATTAATTTGTCCCATATCTTCTAATCACATCTATTAAAGCCTGGACATAAGCTAAGGACTTACCACAAAGTTAAAATTCTCAACAAAGTACTTCATCTGTTGGTATTCATTCTGCAAACGTTGTTTTGCTTGGGGAGTAGATACTTGGCTCATCAAGTACTCCAGATAGGCCCTCAACATCAGCAATTTCTATTCCACTGCTTTGAAGGCATGCCACCACTTTGTTTTTCATTTCCACTAAGCTACTGTCCACTAGGTCTCCTGTATTGTCAAGAATAGCATTGATTGTCTGTTGGCTTAGTTGATTTTCTTCTTTGGTTTTTAAAATAAACAGTGCCAAGAATCTTGTCATATCGTCGACGTAGTTTGTGTCTTCATTTGAATCGTTGTCTTCTCCATCTTCTTCATCAGAGTTTTCATCTTCTACGTCTTCATCGCCTTGCTCACTTACGTTCGCAAAATTTAACAGTGCATTCTTCTTCTCTTCTCTCTGGATATGGGATTTGAACGAATTGAATTTTCGAAATGACTGGCCGCATTGTCTGCATGTGATGCTAAAGTTTGGTTCATGACTGTGAATAAATTTGATATGATGTAATAACTTTTTGAAGCTTCTACCAAGAAAACTAGTACAGTATGGACAACTATGCATTTGGATATACGGAAAACCTTCGATAAACAACGACGCGCTGATGAAGGAGAACACAGAAAGACCCTAATTCAATGGCTCTTAAACGAATGTCTGGGTGCTGACCAGTAGAAACGCAGGCTCTGGGAACGAGATTGGAATGGTAGTAGGACAAAGTTTGAGACAAATCAACTCTTTTCTTATAAAAATATTTATAATATATTTCATTACAACGTAGATATTATTTTAGCCGTCTTTATTTAGGATATATTGTATGAATGAATATTTTCCAATTTGAGTTTCCTGTTGTTTTGGCGCTAAAATTTAACCTCGATGTGATGAACATGACCATGTGATAGTGGCTACCAATCAAAAAAAAAGGGCGCGAATGTACGAGATAAAACTCTTGTTCTCCATGAATGCTTTCTCTCACGTAGTCCAACTCTTTGCATTGCAATAGTCAAGTGAGCTCTTTAGCGTTTTCAAAAAGATGGCAAGTTTCCCGAAGTCTGTGGACGAGGTTAAGCAGTGGATGATACAAAATGGGTTTTCGTCCCACGCTTCTACCTTTGAAGGTAAGCTATAACTAGAGAATTTGTACAATATTAGGTTAACCTGAATTTCAAGTTTATTCGTACAAAGCTCATTTGTTGTCCTTCAGTACATGCTTAGATCTGAATTTTAGGTAGAGATATAATACAACGATAAATCATGTATTATTTTAGTTTATTTTTGTGAGGATTTCTTTATTTTCCAAGGTTATTTTCCTTGAACTTCGCGCTATCTGTACCATGTACGACCATGTACACACTCTGGTAGGATCTAGAGAGCATTACCCGTTGTATTGCAAATCGGTGCCATTTTGAATAAAAAAAAACTAATTCATAAGGAATCCAGATGAACAGTAAAACCAAAAATCAAACTCGGGTTTTGGTGATTAAATATTACGAGGAGATTTGGTTGATCTCTTTCCAATGGAAAGATTCTTGGTTTTGTTCCAATGCAAAGATTCTTGGTTTTGGCGGGAACTTCGGTACCATTCATGCTATGCCGTGCTAAGCACACATAGATAGGTCTTGCCTAATACCTAAGTACAAAACTATCAAGCTTTACCCCACATTCTTTCATATTGATTCCAATTGCTCTCTTTTCTTTCATAAGAGAACGAAATCGATGGCGAAGCAATGCAATGCTTAACGGAGAATGCGTTAGTGCAACTGATACCTGTGGTCGGCCCTAGAATGAAGTTTATCAAGCAACTTGAATCTTTGAAAAAAAACCTCCAGGCCCGAGAGTATTGATGTAGTTGAAGAGGGTACCCCAATTGCCAATGAAGAAATGGAAGTACAAGACAGAATTCCAGCTGATACAGAAGTAAAAGCAAGGTTTGAATCTTAAGTTATGGTATAATATTGTGCTACATTATAATACTGGATCATTATTTCTATGACTTGCTTCAACAACCTTGATAACTTTGTTTTTATAACTATTTTTGCAAAACAATAGTTTAAAAAAATAAAAGGTGCGGTCGGTTTATAGCCTTAGATCTTACAATCAGTGCTGAGCCTCTGCTTTTGTGTAAGGTAGTTTAACTGCCTTTTACCATTACTTTACTCAATTGAGTATACATTCGCTTGTAAGTAGAGACTGTTTTGTAAGATACATAAGGACAGTATAAATTTGTTTTGTGCCAACATGGTTGCTGTGTAAGGTGTTTTGTAAGCACCTTTTTTACCAGTATCTCTTTTTGAGTGCTATATTTAATAGCGCTCATCAAAGAGGACAGAAATGAATTTATACTTATTAAAATTTCAGAAAAAGGAAAAGAACTCATTCCTTGACGGCTAAGAGAAGACAAAGGCTTGCTCGCAACAAAAGGAAAAGGGAAGAAAGACAAAAGTCAAAAACAGGACTTGAATTGCTGATGAGTGATCTAAAACAGAAAAATCAGAATCTGCATGAAGCAATAGGAGTAGAAAAGAAAATGAAAGAAAAGTACTTCGAGATGTGGAGAGCTTCAGAAAGGAAAAAGAGAAACTAAAAACAACTAAATGTGTATTCCAGGGATGTGCAAGGAATAATATGAAAAATAATACTTCTAGGGAGCTTTTGCAAATCCAACCAACAATGCTAGAAGATCTTGGACCAGATGATAACCTAAGTAGTGGCAGATTTGGAACTGTGTGCTTAAAAAATTTAGATCCACACCAGTTGCAGTCAAGTATTTAGAGTCATCTAGTGTTAAGGAAGTTCAAAGGAAGCTTCATTTTTGGACAAATGTTGTCACATAAATCTCCCCATTATATTTGGGGTAAACACAATGCAGAAGCCTTATTTCATAGTCGCAGAATTTTATGGTAATGGATCGTTTAAGGCCTTGACACTAAGAGAACTTTTACATAAGGATGAAGAACATATTAAATCTTATGTAAATGGTCCAGAGTATTGGCTTCATTTAAGTTTCCAGATTACTGATAGTATTTGCTATTTACATACTATGGGAGTGCTCCACAATGATATAAAACTGACAACATTGTTGTTTCTGTATCACCTGTAAATGTTATCACACCTATCTTAATAGATTTTAGTAAGGCCACACTGATAAGTGAAGGGAAGATTAAAGTTCTTACTGCTGCGGAGAAGGATCGCTACCGCAAAGAGCACATGCAAATTGCCCCTGAACTCATTGAGGGAACTCATCCCCAATCTGTTAAGAGTGACATATATTCTCTGGGAATTGTTTTTGCCAGTATATATAAATTTACTAAATACAAACCCATAAAAAGAATTAGCAAAAAAAAAGTTTAATGCCCTTTCAAACCAGATGTACATCATCAGAGATTTTAGCAATTCTAATGGATCTTATGAAAGTCTGATTTACTTTTTAGATGACTTCAATCTGATTTGTTTGAATTTGTTTCCATCTTACTTGGAGTAATGTTTTATGCCATTATACATATCAGCCATTGATAAGGTGTTCAGGTGTCATTGAAATGATATAATTGTTTTGCTTCAAGATGTCATGTTTGTTAAATAAAAAGTCTATTTTGATCCATTCCTTTCTGTCTTTAGGGACATCCATTATCTACAGCTATATTTTACTATTCATACAGAAAGAGGCTGGAATTTGATAACAAAGTTAGCAGTCCCTGCCCTGATGACAATATAGTGCTAAATGCAAAAATGCTTTGGCCAAGAGTGTTAACACTTCCAACCAGTTTCCGACTGGATGTTACTAGAACACTGGCAAGCAAGGAGAAGCAGAACATCAATAAGAAGTTTAGAAGAGAGTTCATAGGCTCAATATACGATCATTTTGCCCGCTACACTTTGTAAGTATACTTGTTTGATATATGTTTACCACTTTTTGATTGATGAAAAGCCATCAGGAATACATTTTATTGTGGTGTAGGGAAATGCTAAAATTGGCTTATTGTATTTTCATCAATGAGATCTTATGTTGAAGAAGAAGGTACTGGTATTAGGTTACTAATTATTGTACATTTCATTTTATTTTTTGGTTTGTGAATTGTAGGTATCCCACCAAACATCAACTCACATCTATTTGTGAACTAATAGTCCAGAAATATCCCTTCCTGAAAGATACCTCAATTGGTACTGGATATGTAAGTACCGAATAAGTACTCTAAGGTTTTGAAACAAATGATATGTTGATATCTGATGCTGTTATATGAAAACATGAAAAAGTTTGCTACATATCCCTCAAAAAAGTTTTCATATCGAGGCCTTAAAGGTTGATCATGTTCACTAGTAAAAAATGCAAACCATATGTGACCTTGCATTTTAGCTTATTACATGTTTTTTCATGACCTATCCAGAGTTTTCCAAATTGCTGACTGATTCAATGATCTAATAAAAAGGTAATTTGAACATTGACTCCCACAGTCAGAGAAAAGTCAGAGAATTTGGCATTTTTTTCAAGGTCGGGGAATTTTGATTTTGGTCAGGGAAATTTGCAATTCATCAAAATAGGGAATTTTTCTTTCATCTTTGCAACATCTTCTTGGTGATTATGTTTCCAAATGAAATTTCCCAAATATTCCTGGTGTCCTTCATAACAATGACTAACTAGAAGTGTGCCATTGGGTGATGGAAAAATTGGTTTTGGTTTTGGTCTTGGTCAGGGAATTTAACTTTTTCATAAGAGTGGGAACCCTGTTGAATTATGGCATGAAAATAATACTACAGCTACTAGAATGCTGGCACATAGTTTTTTTTTTTGATTTATTACTCCTTGAGTAGCTTTTGCGAATACTAGGAGATCAAAAAGGAGATACAAAAGAGATTCAAAATCTGAAAAAAAAAAATATATGTGCAGAGGATTCTAGTACTGAAATGTCATATAAATGCAAATCATCTATTACATCAGAGATAATTGATTTCAATACTATTTCCAGGATTCCTGGTACGCTAGTCTATACGAAAAGTTCCGTAATGAGAGAAAGTCTATTAAAGATGACCCGGAAGTAATCCTCAGGAAAAGAAAGCCCAAAGAGAGTTCCAAAGAGTGTGTGAAAGCTAAGCTTCGCAGAGGAGCCATAAACTGGGAGCCACCCTTTCCAGAGGGTGAGGATGAGGTGTCTCTACAACGACATAAAGATTTTATGAAGAGTGAATTTGAAAAAAGGTCTCCAGATTGGGCAAAGATAAGCAAACGAATGGCACTGACTTTCCCCAGCAGACGGAGACTAATGAATGACAATATGAGCATCAAGGAAATAAAAGAACACTACCCTACTCTATTTAAGTTTGAACAGGTATGTTAAGCTATATATTGTTGTCCTTGTGAACTATGAGTATGAGCAATCTAATTGTGTTTTCTCTGTGTCTTTCAACAAGAAAGTTGTGTAGAAGAAGGATGAGTTTAATAAAACTACCCCCACATTAGGGTGATTGGCAGTCTGGTTGTTCTGTCAGGTCAGCACAATTTGCTGCCTTGAGTAACTGGGCAATTCTGGGTGTGTTGGGTGATATGCAGACATCCTATGCTTGCAAGATGTGAATGTCCTCTCTTACTTCATATGTTAACAGAAATATAGGAATTATTATTGATGCTATTCAAACCTTTGTTCCTTAGATACTGGCTGAATTTGAAAAGAATTTTGGGTCTAAATTCAAGTGTGGTGGATTCATTCAGGTCTAATTTTCAGCAAGTCACTGACCCGATTGTAAAACTAGGAAAGACAAAAAATAAGAGTAAATCAAAAGAAGAAATCCAAACGTTCCTGCACCTCCTGGAGGATGATGATAATGACATGAACGAAGATGAATCAGAACCAACAATTGGTAAGAAATATAAAAGAAAACAATATCTTATCATGCGAGCTCGTGCTTTTCCCGTGTATAGACCTAATCAGAATCAAATGCAAATTGCCCATTTCAGACAATGTGATGTTTACAATATCGTCTCTGGAGAATAGTTTCTTTGTTTTTCATCACATGGTCTGAAATGGGCAATTTGTATAGTCAAATAGGTCTATTACAACCCATTTTCAAGTGCAGCAACAGCACATGCTCGAAAGGTCTGTCCTTTCAAACGTTTTAATATTTTTTTTCAAATTTTTGGGTATCTGATGTCTTCATATCATATTATAAACAATTTACTACACTGCTAGTTTGTGTGTTACCCTGGACAATCTTACTCCTGAGCTGTATTTTTCTTGCACCGGAAGGCTTAAAAAATACCGTCGCTTTACTAAAATTTATTCAGTGTTAACACAGAGCAGTGCAGTAAACCTCTATATTACTTTGGATCACAAATATTAAAGGGCATCATACAATTAAGTAAAAACAGTGCAAAGATTAAAACTAAGCCAGTTTTGATGAACCTGGTCCAGTGTAAATACCCTAATTGTAGTGAAATCAATCTAAATCTTTCAATTATTTCTAGAGGAACAAGCTGAAGTGGCCATGGCAGTACTGCCATACCTTCTTCTGCCAAAGTCTGGCCTTATTTCAACAGATGACTTTGTCCATTTCGTATTTGTAAGTATCATCAAATTATATTTATTTCTGAAAGAATAGTTAAAATTAATGGTTCTAGCATCTCTATTTGATTGACAAGATTACATTATTTTAGGATTTGGGTGCCACTCAATTCCAACAATTTCATTATTGAACATATCGGTACATACAGCTTGTTAAGGTGACTGGCTACTTTTGGAAATAATGTTAAACTTTTTTTGAAACTACAATTTTCCGAAGTAAAATTTAATGCTTTATTTCAAATCTGAAAAGAAAAAATTTGTGTCCAGAACTCTTTTTGAGATAATCAGCATTTAATGGTAGCCCTACGTACGAGTTTTTGGCAAAAAAAATTGCACCACACAAAGTGACAAGAAAAAAAAGTCATAGTAGATAACATAACAGATTTTACAGCTAAATTATTATTCATATGATAGCTAGCAGTCTAATATAATTCGAACATTAATTATGACCTATCATATTGTCAGTCAAAAAGGAGGTGCCAGAAATCACATTGGTTATAGTGGTTCCCGAAATTCTGCGAACTCATTAGTTGCACATTTGGAAATAATTTGGTTTTTCATTGCAGCTAGTCAAAAATATAAAAGGCACCGACTGATTATCATTGATTGACAGAAGCAATAGATTCAAGAAATTCTCGTCAATAAATTTGACAAGCTGTATTTTTTTTTAAAAAAACAAATATTGTTTTCAAACACAATAATTATTGACTCTGGAGTTTTACTTTTTTGTAGGAAGATGAAGATATTGATGAGATCGTGAAGATTTCCAACAAGCCTTTTCCAAGAATTGTATTTAAAGGGCAGCTAAGTTCCCCCGACGCTATCTATATAATAGCAGATCAGCAAGTGCTATGCAGCTCAACAAACACCACTCTGTTGGAGGCCACAGTCTGTTTGATGGCATGTTACTATGTGTTCTTTTATGACTATCCAAGTGGCCTCAATAACTTCTATTTGTACTTGCAAAAGTGCATATTGCAACTTCAGGATGGGAAGAAGCTACCATCCACAGTAATTAATTTTGTAAATGACATTGATGCTATGTCAAAGATCTGAAAATGTGATTTTATAATTACTTCAATTGAATGATAACTTAATTATACTTCATGTGTGGTTGATATTCAACCAATTGCATATACCTGTACACAATATATTGATTTATTTCGTAAATTATTGGGCAAATGAAATCTAGGGAGTGAATTACAATAAATGGTCCAAAGCTATTTGAAAAGTACTGTTCCCTTGTAGGGCATATTGTTCAGATGGATTAGGGTATTAATGAAATGGTATACCTGCATCAAAGGAATTGCACTTATTTAAAGATGGCTCTAGACTATGTATGGTAATTTACTCTGTAGATTTCAATTGCTTTATAGTGATTTGTAAAATATATTAAAATATTGCTTACAGTGTATTTTGCCCCTGTTTGAATGCCTGCATCATGTGATCAATGTTTAGATTATCATTCAATCTTTTTTTTCAAAACCTATTACAGCTTATCCAAAATTAAAGATTATTTATGATTATTTGAGTGCTCACACTAAATTCGTGTGATTCAGTATTCCCTTAAATACATTTCATTGCATGCACTCTTTAAATTAAGGATTTCTTAAAATTGTTACTATTTATTGCTAAATAATGTTAGACCATTTTACATTCATGGAAGAGTGGACAATTTTTATAATTTTACATTTTACATGCATATCTTCAGAATTTTAGCAAACAAAAAATTATTCCTTTTGCAAATTTAATATAGCTTCATGATTTCTAGTGACACATGCTTTTATTTATTTAGCTTGATATACCTCTTCTAATAACATTGATGATAACCAATCTGAACAGTTTTATGCCATGGAGGTAACTCATTGTGAGAGTAAGCTAACTCATTTTCTGTAGTAACTTAACTCATTTTTTTTGAGTGAAGTGAAGTTTAACTCAAAATAAAGAGTCAATCTGGATGCATTTCGTATGAGTTTACTGAACACATTATCAGAGTTGTCTGTACTCATTTTTGAGAAAAACCCACTCATGTTTTGAGTAGAGTTAACTCATTATTTGAGTACTTCTAACTCTTTTTGAGTTGTCCTAACTTACTCCAATGAGTTAGTTTTACTCAATATAGATAGTTAATCCAACTCAATATAAAGAGTTATTCTGGATGCAAGTTGAACTCGTTATATTGAGTTGGAATCACTCAACTTTTTTAGCGGTGTACTTGTCATCCCTCCACCACTTGCCTTCAAAAAATTATCATCAGTGTATTGTTTATTTACAGCACCTATAGCATTAACAGGTGCTGCTAAATTGATTATTTTATTTTTGGCCATATTCAAATCAGCAGTCATTGCAGTCTTTCCATTAGGCCCAAAATCTCTCTATCTCCTTTTGGACCCTGTGGACCAGTATCTCCCTTCGATCCTTTGAGACCTTGCAAACCTGGTGAACCACCTATACTGATCACCCTATTTTGTAATGCAACACTGTTTCTTGAATAACAAATTCACCTCCACTTTTAGAAGCGAAATGTGATGCATCCGATGTCACTTTATTTGCAGGAAAGAAGTCTTTAAGTTTAACGGTTTTTTCATTATTATGCGCAAGATTGTTATTATGACAGTATTTGCTGCGATTTGTAATAGGGTTATTTACTCTATTTATATCATCGTCATGTATCTTTTTAGACACAGGATTTTGATTGTTGAAAGGATCAACTACATCCATTTTGACCTTCTCATTGAAATTGATGACACCATTGGTAACTGTAGATATCTTATCCCCAACACTTGAGACATTATTGTGATCCTCTACAACACCATAAACAACAACAAATATTTGTAAATCTTGTGTATAACTGATGCCATATTCATTTTTCAAAACCGTGTCCATCATTAGATAATTGGAAGTTGTTTTATTGTACTTGTTGAAATGAATTATACTTCAGCTATGATCGCTAACCCTATTCATGTGAAAGGCGCCAACATGGCTGCCACGTTTTCTGGAGCTCTTCGCCTATCTACCATTTTTGGTGTTCTTTTCGTTTTAAATGCTGCCCAAGAATGCTACAATTGTCACTATAGGAGGGCTGAAAGTCCTTGGCTTTTCAAACATATTTCATCCAAGTTTACTACTCCTAAATTTAGAGTTCGCCGGCTGGTGGTGTTGTGGGGCGTCCATGGTCTAACCTTGCTCGCAGTACCGGAGAAATATATCACGCTAGATATCACTATAGATATGGACGTAGAGTCACAACCGGGTCCAGAGATAGACAGGAGTATCGGAGGAGTTAATAAGAACTACCCGATGTTAATGCGAACTAAGCCAGCGTCTTTGAAATGCTCTGAACTCTTGTCTCTCCGAAACAAAGCTTTCAAGCCATCTCCGGCCGTTCTATCTCAGTTCAAGTCACTCGGCATTCTGAAATACCGTGGGCAACATAGTGCTCGAATCTCACGATCCATCTCAACCAAGAAAATCCCGGTGATGCAAGGCCGCCGTTTCATCAAGGCTGAAGGTCAGAAAGTGGATCGGAGTAACTTAATTAACATTCCGCGTGTCAACAAAACCGACAAAACATCCACCTCTAAATCAAAGGGTTTCGCTGTCCCAAAATGTTTGTTTACGAACATTTGTGGTTTGTCGAAAACAAAAAATCGTGTACGAGCACCTGTGGCGCTTGAGGCTGACCTGAGATCTCAGGATATTGATGTGTGTATTGTCAGTGAAACTCATCTTTCCACTAATATGCCGGACGCCGTGGTGAATATCCCAAATTACAATGTGTTCAGGCGGGACAGAGGTTGGGCAGACTTGGACAAAAGGAAAAAAGGGGGTGTTGCGGTCTATGTGAGAGACAGTCTTAAAGTCTTGGATGTCTATCGGTCCAATTTATATGAATTTATTGCTTTAACAGTGCAGTTGCCGTCCGATCACATTATGCTAATTTGCGGCCTGTATAATCCTCCCAAGCATAGCTACCGGGATCTCGACTTGATTAATTATATAATATCCTTTGTGGACATTGTGTTGAACAAACACCCAGAAGCGGCTATTGTCTGTGGTGGCGATGTAAATCGTTTGGATATGCAAGAATTTAAGGCTTTGTCTGGCTGGGATTTCGTGGTTGATTTTCCCACGCGGGGTAACGCGTGCTTGGATAACTGTATGACCAACCGAGCGGATCTGTTCGGTCAAGCATATTCCATACATATGCTTATTAAGACAGACCATGAGGGCTTTGTTTTACCGGCGGGATTAAAGCTTAAACCTATGCGCCGCAAAGTTCTCGTGCGGGACTGTAGGGAACATCGGAAACAGTCATTTTATATGGCACTCACTGCGCTGGACTGGAGTGACGTCCTCAATGAGGTGGACATAAACAAGGCGGTCGAGGTGCTTGAGGTAAAGATTCGTGCAGTGATGAATAAGTTTATGCCGCAAAAATCTGTACGCATGTCATCGCGTGACCCAGTTTGGATGTCCCCATTAGTCAAGTGTATGCTGAGGACTAAGTCCCATATATCTTTAAAGAATAAGGAACGCCTGTCTTTATTTAATAAGCGCATTTCTGAGCTGATAACCGAGAACAGAAGAAAACTGGCTGCCATTGGTAGCGGTGAGTGGTGGAAGGGCGTGGACGCCCTATCGCAGCGTCGCAGGTCATCGTTGATAAATTTGGACAAGAACTCTCTAGTTCGTCTGAACGACTACTTCGCCAACCTGTGCTATGATGACACTTACGTTAGACCTAGTGATATGGATATCCCGGACAGTGTAAAGCCCCCGAAAATATCTGAGCGGTGTGTCTGGAATACCTTAGTTCATGTAAAGAAAACCGCAACGGGACCAGACGACCTCCCGTACTGGATCTGGAAAGACTGTGCTGAGCTACTCACACCAATCGTCACTCACGTTTGGAATCTGTCGCTGTCTACTCATACATGGCCAGACTCCTGGAAAAGGGCAAATGTTAACCCTCTCCCCAAAGTGAACATGCCTATA